CATTGTTGAAACTTGTAGTCCATTCCTTGAAGGCATTAGAGTAAAACTCTGCCCCCTTGGTGACCCAAAATGCCTCACAATTCAAGATGGCTACCGCATTGTTGAAACTTGTAGTCCATTCTTCGAAGGCATTAGAGTAAAACTCTGATATCTGCTATTGGCTAAGTTTATTGGTTTGATAACAGACAGTATGATACCTTTGACGACTCTGGTGAAGGTAAGATAATAAAATTGGATAACAAAAACAGTTTTGAAAATGACAGTGAACTTGAATAGGATTTTTTAAAAGATGAAAAACTGAAAAATGAAAGATGTGGTTGATGACACAACAGATCATAAGAGATGACAATGGTGGTGCCAGTGTTGGTGTCATAAAAATGCTAAAATATCTATTTTAAAAAAAGAATTCCAAAGTTGAACCAATTCTAAATGAACATTGCTTACCATAACAATATTGGATTGTGAGCCTTCCTGCCAAACATCATCTGGTGCCACGGTCTTGATCAACTCTCCCACATGGAACAGCAGTTCTACAGTGCTTGTAAGTACCTGCTGATGACTGCTAAGATGACCATTYATAACTTGCAGTGCTTGAGGTAGCAGCATAACACACATTTCTTCCACTGCAAGCTGGTTGTACTGCAGAGCTTCCATTACAAGTTCATCTTCTTCATCATCACCCTCTGTTGAGCTTGTTGGATGATGCTCTGTTGATGAGCTTGATGATGATGGTGCATCACTAGACAGTCAAACAATCAGAGCATCAAGACAAAAGCATTTGTTAACATTTGGTTTCCCAGCATTGTGGTGTAGTGCTAATCAATATTTTAGGAAAACCTTGTCAAGACAAATGAAGCAAGTTCAAGGATACACTTCAGTCTCACAAATTGTGTTGAAGTGCCAATAAATATAAAAAGAAGTCCATGTCAACACAAGTGAGTCTTGAGTGAGAAGGCAAGGCAAGGAAAATACCCAACAAACTCTAACCGTAAACATGGTGTCCCCAGGAATGAAACCAAAACTAGACCTGTACAATGTAGGACACAGTGGTGAAATGCAAATGTTTTACTGCTATACCAGACAGTTCTGTTCGTACCTTCCCAAACCTCCATCACCACTGCCACGTTCTTGAATATATTCTTCTCCTTGTTGACCAGCAGCGTTTTTTACTTCATTGGACAAAAACATGTTTTGCCGAGATTTCCAACATTCTGAAATGTGAAGCATAGATGAAACACATAAAACTTTTCCTAATGCCGAACAAAATGGGAGTACTACAATGATAATTAATAGACCTATTGCTGGTCGCAGTCATGGTCGCTGTCACGGTCACGGTCATGGTCATGGTCACAGTCACGGTCACAGTCATGGTCACAGTCACCAACACTCTCACTGTCACCGTTACCATCACCAACACTGTGGCCCTTGCCGTCATCAACACTATCACCTGTCCCTATTTCTATCACCGTTATCACTGGTCAACTTTAGCACCATTTACCTTGGTCTGGACAAAACAAGGCTGGATCAGCTGTAGCCATCAGCCTGGCATGAACATGACAACACAGTTCCTTCAGACAGTGGATAGCACACTGTGGAACACAAGGGCCATTATCAGAACCCTGGAATTCCAGCAATCCAATCAAACTCTGCAACAGCAAAATAAAAAACAGTGATTGATTATCGAGACACTGTTGTAAGGGTGTAAGAAGGATAAATCAAACATTAAGTTTGACACAGAGTTAGACACAGAACCCAACCCTATTAAGAAAACCAAAGCTGGGCTTCCTGTGCTAATAGCATTTTTCATGGTTACTAAAAATAAATTTTGCAAAGCCTTGTGGAATTGAAATGTGAACAAACATTGCAAATAAAGGCTTTGATTACATGGAAAAGGAGAATAAAATCAAAAAACTATAGTTTTTCCACAAATTGGAAACAACAAGACAAAAAAAAACATTGATAAAGAAGGCAGGATGGTCGAGTTGTCATAGCGTCGGTTTCGCAATCCAGTGGTGCCGGGTTCGAGTCCCGCTGCGGCCACTAGCTGAGACTGTATTTGTCCTGGTTTCTGATTAGTTCAAATTCTGTTTCTCAACCATGCTTGTTAATAGCCAATTGGCTGTAAATTAGCAGTCAGCTAAGTGTACTTTGCACGTTAAATAAGGGTTTTTTTGTTGTTGCAGCATATTAGCATGTGCGCTTGGCTTGGCTTGTCTGCATTTAAATCATATGACGTACAATCATGACTTCATCTGTGGAAAGCACCATTCATACTACTAAGAGAGCAAGATACTGTAATGTTTCTAAGCAAACTAAAATGATATATTTACCTTGAACACACTTGGTCTTTGAAGGAATATTTCAGCAGGGAAATCCTTAAAAAGAACATCTGCCAGGAATTCACATGACTTTGAAACAAGAGTAGGGCTATTGTTCTGAAGCCTACTGTCAGTCACAGCCAGGATGTGTCTATCACTAGAGGAGAGGGGAAGCCATTTGAAAAATGATAAAGAGCCACTAGAATGAAGTACAGAATCTGTAAAAAGAAATATGGGAAACTGTAAGATGAAATTTCTTGAGCAAGAATCAGCTGAGTATCAACAATTGGCCTAGTGTTGAATTCATTATGTCAAATTGTCATTAAGTATGTGGATTACCAATTAAGTGTTAGCTAGTTGGTTCAATAATGGTTGAACATTAATTATCGTGCAAGGCTTAGAATAACGGCGGATCAGTCGTCTGTCATGATCACAGGCCAAATCAGTTTTTGCTTAGTCTTACGTACCTCATTTCTGGCTAAGCATTACTGGTCAAAATTACCAGCAAAGCACAAATTTGACCAAACAAGTCCAGTTATTTTAAGCCCTGTTGTGCCAAAGGTAGTGTTGCAATTCCTTTGTTCTAGCACAGTGTGGGCAGTGCTCATTGATGACATATGCCACCTTTTATTCCAAAATGTGACTTTATTAACCTACCTTGAGAACGGGTTGTGCTTATCGATGACTGTGCGTGTGAAGTATTATCATGAGAACTTGGAAATGACTCTTTCTCTTCCTTAAAATATCCCTTGGGGGTACCCAACAGGGGTGCACTGGTTCTGGTTGGGATAGGGGGTCGTGGTTGTGTTGTATTAGGCAGAGATGGAGTATAAGAAGACACAACTTTTAAATGAGATCCACAATGAACTATCGATAAAAAGACAAGGGTAAGGAAAGTTTAAAATCTAAATAAATGAAATGTGCATTATAAATATACGATATATTACAGCTAACATGTGGCTATAATCTAAGGACCTAATTTTTGGCTCATATTTTTCATATGTCTGTAGGCTTTGCACCATCACGTGATGGCAGCCATGACAGGATATGTTACAATGGAATTCTCCCATGGGAAACTGAATTCTTTATCACGAAATCAGATTAGGACAGATTCAATATTTTTCCTGCCTCCTGTCATGGCTGTCATCACATAATAATAAATAATAATAATATGACTTTATTACAAGGGTAGACATACTTTACTAGTAGCCCAGTAGTTTCCATTATGGCCCTCTATGGCCCACATGATGGAACAAACCTCTATACAATCCCTTGCACTGATTCCCGAGAGGAATAAATTGTACTGGGGGACAAAACAATGGATTTTTTTTTGCATAAGAAAAGATGGCCTATTGTTCTGTCCCCCCAAACAATTCCTCTAGGAAATCAATGCAAGGAGTCTTTTGACTAATGATCTATACTTAGCAAGATACAGCACTAGTCTTTCCCGTTACATTTTCAAGTCTATTAAATAAAATAATGAATTTCAGATCTGGTATTTGAAGTATAACCTGATACAGGAATATTGCTGTGTTCCTCATCATCACGTGGTCTGTACAGACACCAATCATCATGTGTGTCTCCAGCTGTCTGTGGTATACTCAATAGAAGGTGAGTAACATTATCAATATCCTGGAACAGCTCTGGATCTTCATCTTGTCTCAACTGGGATAGAAATTCTACTGCACCAACACTAAGAAGCACTTGAGCTGCAGTTACATGCTGAGAGAATAAAAAATTGTGACCCGTTATAAACTACTTTATAAATCCAATTTGAAACTAAATCAAAATGACAGAGTGATACAAGACAGTAGCTACTGATAAATTAGAAATTTTGGACCCCAGCGTTCAAAAATGGACATAGAAGCAATAGTTATATAATACAGTATGTGATTAATTTATTTTAAATGAAATAATTTATTCTGAGGCAAACCTTTGACAGCTTTTCTAAAAGCCCAAGCACTTCCTTCTTCATGGGAGCTGACGTGTAGTTAAACCATTCCAATAGACGAATCAACAGTTCCCGTTCCTGTACCAAGTCTGACACACAAATCAACTTGTGTTCCAGTTTAAGAAGGATGTTTTTGAGGGCTCGTACTCTGATTTCTTCAACATTATGACCTTTTACACAAGAAAATACAATATTTACTCTTAAAATACAATATATTGAAACAAGACTTAAATACAAAATAGTAAAAGAAAATATACAAGTTTTTTATGCAAAAGGTGGTAAAATTTTCCCGTAACAAACGGCTTTATAAATCAAATTATTTCTTACCTAGCTTAGTAATAAAAGGCTGGAGCACCAAGGAGGAGGAAGATAAGATTGCGGAGCCACTGTCAACTTCACCGTCCATTTTTTCCATTTTATTTTCAATTTTGTGCATAAAAAAGTTTACGCTGTGAAAGCCAGAAGTTTATATTTTTCAAAACAATTATTGAAGAAGGATTTAATTGAAGGAAACATACTGTTTCTGACCTTGATAGTTGATAAAAATGATATTTATGTCAACAAAATATTAAAAATGGCGCGCTGAAGTTATGTTGAGCCCGCGATCTAACGTGACAGAAGATAAAGGGAGCCCAAAGTAGCTATTATACATGACACAGGAAGCCCATGCTTTTTATATCGCACTTTTATCGATTTTATCATATAAAATTTCACTTTAAAAGTAATTATGATGAAAATACTTCTAAGTAAAATTGTTCAATTTTTAAAGAAAATCTTATAGAAATTATTTGAAGTATTTAAAATTAGAGAAACCTCGCATTGTATGATGGGTAAAAATATGACGTAACGAGCCTGGTGTCGGCCATTTTGTTCGGCTTTTTGCAAACGCAACTCACTGAGTAAAAAATACCACACTTTAGAGCCATGTTTTCGGCTAGAGTTTACTCAGTTGGCTTTTCAAGGTATTTATCAGGAACAACAACGCATCTAGCACACGGTTTGAGAGGATCAGTGGCCGTTATTCTTCCAGAGGCTGAAAAATTAGTCCCTCCTCCAGTACAGAAAACAAACCAAAGTCTTGGCTCTATCATACCAACTGGAAATGTTGTCGCTACTAACAAACTCTTAGGTAAAAACACGCTTATTTAACAGTCTTTTATTAAGTGTTTATTAGCTTTTGTGTTGACTGTACCGACATTTGTGTTATGAAATAATTTTACCGACGAATAACTAGTTTAGACGTGTGGCGTTGTCGGTGTAACCGGCTTTTTAACTTTCCTAGGTATAGGCTTTCTAATTTTATTATTTGCTCTCTTAACGCTATTCTATACAGACCACAAGGCATTATTGCGTATGAAAGGCCTATATATATGAAAAGTAAGGAGGCCAGCCAGATTTGCGAATTTCAAGACAATATTAAACTCATCTACCCCCTTGCCCCCTAACTACTTTTCCCATAAGTAGCTTCAAAACCATGTAATAAAAAAAGTATACTTCACTGAACCTTTTCATGGATGTTTATCAGAATGAAAACATTTCATAAGTGATGGAAATGATTTACATGTATGTAACTTGCAGCGCAATGTGCAAATGTATAACCAAATTTAATGCATTACTATTCGCATACTTCTGCGCACAGGCTAGGCTTTTGGCTACCAAACAAGCTTTTACAAGCCTTATATGGTAAAACCAGCCAGATTCGCATTGAAATGTGTTTGTTTGAACTATGAAAGTTAGTGCATAGAAGTATGTGAATGTTGTCATACTTTTGCATGTTGCACTGTAAACACTTACTCATAAAAATGATGTAATTGGCTATGTGTACTGTATGTGAGTATGTGATTGTTGCCTGCAGCAACCAAGAGTATTTCTTCACTATTTTACTCTATAATCATTAAATAATTCAATAATATTTCCCCAGGTAAATCACAAGTGAGATTCAGTCATACAGATGTAAAAATTCCAGACTTTGGTGACTATCGTCGTGAAACTACAAGAGATACCAGTCTTGCAAACCAGTCAGATATGAGCCGACGAGCATTCACCTACATGGTTGTTGCAGGAATGGGTATTACTGGAGTTCATGTCGGCAAAAACATGTTGGTTGACTTTTTGTCAACTATGAGTGCTTCAGCTGATGTGTTGGCTTTGGCGAAGATTGAAGTTGATCTGGATAGTATTCCTGAAGGTAAGCAATCGCTGATTGTTAAGTCAGATCTTTCGAACTCCCCAGTATTACAGACACCTTACTATTGCTAACAAAAGCAAATTCTCCATGCAAAAAAAAACGGACAAAAAATAACAGTAATTACTTGCACTTTTGCTAACACTTGTTATTATGGACACCATTTGATTGGCCCTGAGGGTGGTGATGTATGTCCGTGGTAATGGGAGTTGACTGTACATTGATACTTATATAAAAACACTTACAAAAGCCCTGCATAGTAATATTCAAATACATTACATGTGGTCATACTTTTGCTTGTTGTGATGTAACTGTAGACCCCTTATTGGGGTAATGATCAATGTATGAGATGACCAGGAAGTAATTCCTTCAACTATTTTGATATATCTGTTTTGTGAACACAAAACATTTTTAGACCAGCTTGAAACCAGCAATATGAGCTTTTTAAATCATTCTGATTTAAGATAATGAGCTACTGTGAAACCTCTCTAATATGAACAACAAGAGGGATGGAACTCTAGGGAAAAAGAAAGTCATCTGACTATAAAAATTTCCATTTTATAGATGTCTGTTAATGAGAAAATGAAGTGTAACTACATATACGACTAAAGAAAGCATCCGTATTACATTTTGCTGACATATCCCATTTATTCCAGGTAAAAACATGGTATTTAAATGGCGAGGCAAACCACTTTTCGTCCGACATCGTACCAACGAAGAAATAGATGACGTCCGTTCAGTAGACGTGCAAAGTCTACGTGACCCCCAAGATGATATGGAACGTGTAAAAAGTGATAAATGGCTGGTCCTTATTGGAGTGTGCACCCATCTGGGCTGCGTCCCCATCTCTAATGCTGGTGAATTTGGTGGATACTACTGTCCCTGCCATGGTTCTCATTATGATGCATCAGGAAGAATAAGAAAAGGTCCTGCACCTCTTAACCTGGAAGTCCCTGAGCATTCCTTCGATGGCAATTTATTAATCGTAGGATAAAGATGATTTATGGCTTGGGATGATATTCGAAATCTAATTGTATATTTAAAACTGGCTTGACTGGCTTTTATTGGATCAATATGAGTGCACATTTACACATCTTTATGCATTTATAAGATTAAGTTTTTATTGTTATATTGATTTGTTGTAAGTTTTGGTAGGAGATGTATGAGGACAGTGAAGGAGAAATTTTTTTGTGGAAGATTTTACAATGGATCAATAAACATCAGACAATGTAATTTTAATTTTGGATTGTCCACACCATCACTCCCCCTAAGGGCTCTGAGGTTCACTCCACACACACTATATACAACACTTGACTCACATGATCATTTTTAGGGAGGGATGAAAATTAGTGGAAAAAATCCCTTGGCAAGGGAAAGAACAACACATCAAACAAATTCATGTTACATATGCAGTTCAGTTAAGAATCGAACCTACGACCCCAGGCTTGAAGTACACGACTCCAGAGACCATAAAAGGTTAATGTCTTGCAGTGACCAGCAAACCTTTTTTCCACTAATATCAAATTAGCTGTGGTCACTACTCTCCCTGTGGACTCGTTTTAAAACCTTGCTGTGGCTTATACACAAAATTGGGGTAAAAATTAATATTGATGTCTTGTTTTAGTCGCAAAACGCCTTTATTTTTTTTATTTCATTTTATTTTTTTTACAGGGTTGCTTGTGGCAGCCCATTCGTAAAATGCCTTTGGTTTTTTATTTTTTTTTTGTCTTCTTCTTGCGAAAAGTGCATTATTGTGCAAGAGTAACCATATATGGATTTGAATGATGTGTTCATAGACTCTGGGCTCATACGCTGGTTTAGCAGCTAAGGCTGTAACTCCGGGCTTAAGAAGCAATATAATTGAGCGGTAAAAGAAGATTTCTAGTATCGTAATTCACATATTTATTAGTATTAATACAGCTTCTCAGTCGGCAGTGTTCTGGCTTCAATCGCGTGGGTTAGTAGAGCCTAAAGGAAAATACGACTTTCAGTCTTTTTAGTTAATAAGACATATACATGAATCTATCGTTAAATACCACGCGGTTATCGATGATAGACTCTCCTGGTCTGCCCACATAGAAAAGGTTTGCAAGAAAGTTTCATCAGGAATAGGAATGATTAGGAGAATAAGCCCTTACGTCAATGTTGATACCTTAAATACGGTTTACAAATCCTCGGTGTAGTGTCATTTTGACTATTGTAGTCCTGTTTGGGACAGCATAATAGGCATTGGTTTGTCCAACAAACTGCAAAAACTAAAAAATAGAGCTGCCCGGGTTATAACGAAATCTTCATACGACGTGAGGTCTTCTTCTCTACGTCAGGATGATTTGAAAACTAGACGTAAAGAACACATTGCCACTATGATGTACGAGGTGCATCATAGAAGTTGTCCCAGCTACCTATCTGACATCTTTACGCCCTGTTCACAATCAACCGATTATGGTCTTAGAAGTGCAAATGAAAATAACTATTTTCTGCCACGCCCAAATCTAGAATATCGGAAAAAGAGTTTTAGCTATAAAGGAACGCTAGTATGGAATCAACTCCCATTTTCTGTTAAAAACTCAAACTCACTATCCTCTTTTAAGACTGCATTAAACGGTTGTTTTTAATAAATATTTAATATTTAATATTTAATAGATATAATGTAAGTTAGTATTTTCTTTTTCTAGCATAGTATAGTTACTAATGAATGCTCTTCTAATTAGTCTTATAGAAATATTTTTATTTGTAAATTTGTTAACTCACGGCTACTTGAAAAGCAGCTACGCTGAACTGTATTTACCGTGTATAAACTATAAAGGATTCACGTTATAGAGCTGGTACTTCGGTCAACTAGATGGCGTAAAAGGAATGAAACTAATAGAATCGACCGAAATTTTCCTTCGAAAATCAAGTGTCCTTTTGAGTGCTGTGATTTTCACAAACCTCGCTACCTGGAAAGCCTTCTGTCGATGAGCTTACTTTGGCGTCCTTTTGAGTGTTGTGATCTTTGTAAAAACTCACTTCCCCGTGGTAGATCGTCCTTACCTTGATTTAAGTCATTTTTACTTGTCCGATTTTTAATAAAGATTTTTTTTACATTTTTAAAAATTTAATTTAATAATCGGCTAGCGCTATAAACGATTATAGAAAGCATAAAAAGATTTGTTTGAGTTTTAAGTTTGGTTTGTGTTATGGTATGGATTGAGCTAGATCTTTAAAAATAAATCAGGAACTGCCGGCCATTTAGTATTTTGAAATTCTCTTAGAAAGTCCTATATGAAAATACTAAATGGCCAGCAGTTTCTTTTTTTTTTTTTTGCCCCCAAGGATTTTCCTCTGCTAGCTAGATTTCAATTTGGCGGATTTGGATAGACAGGAATAGGTTACTCAAAAATACAAAGTTTCAATATTCTATATTCTATTATTAAAGAAAAAAGAAAAAAAGAATAGAAAGAAAGAAAGAAAGCCCGGAAAAAGTAGCAAAAGCGTGAGTAGGTATAATGTTTAGGTCACCCATCCAAGTGCTAACCCTAATCAGACGAGCTTGACTCAGTATCTTGAACGACAACGATTTATCCGCTAGACCACGGTTCCAGGTGAATCAGCATAACAAT